TTGACTTTTTAATTCTCGGATTAATTTTTCAAAATTTTAAGGTAAATATTTATTTTTTCAAATTTAGTTGATGCATATTCAATAATAAAAGTTGTATCCTTGATTAATAATTTTTTACTTATTGTTAATTAATTATTAGATATAAATTTTAACTAATAACTTTTTAAAGTTAAAAGTGAAATTAACCAAGATTTAGTGGACATTTTTTTTTTTTTTAATGCATATAAATGCATATTTGAATGATTTTAGAAGCATATTTGCATGAATATTTGTGTATTTTTTAGAGCTATAAGTCCCTAAGCCTACTAATGATACAGGAATTTGTACTCTAGATGTTATATTTTTAGTACCTATAGGTTTTAAGTTCTCTGTGTTTAGATTCAAATCTATAAGACTATAAAAATTTTAAAGGCCCCGACTTTTTAATAATGTTACAATAATGAATGAGAAGATGGTGTTTTGGTTTTAATGTGTCTTTAAAAATCTCAGTGTACTTAGAATTATGGTATAAAATACAACTCTGTAACTTAAGTATAGTTTGTTCACTAAAACTAGGTAATAGCAACAGATCAATCAGTTCAATGAAATTAACTAAAAATAACCAAACTGGATCACATTCATGCTTTCTTCTGTTTAACAGTTCTAAATTGAAATATCCCATACTAATTAAATGATTGATAATATGACACATATTATACACACAAATACCTTCAAACAGGTCATGCATAATGTCTACTGCATAGTTATCCACAACATGAAATGAATCAATGTTATTAAATATAGATTCTTCATTAACTCCAGTACTCTTACAATCATTTTTGAATACATTTTCATTATAATTTTTTTTGTTGCGCAGTAAATTTGTGTCTTCAACAGCAAGGGTTTGAGTTTGATTTTTATGACTTAGGCAAAAACGACAAAAAAAATTTGAAGAAAAAGATTTAGTAAAACCTAACACCGTATTGACTCCAAGATTATCACCAACAACCAATCTCAATACAAATGTAATTTTAACATTTTTCCCTGATAATATTATTGTCAACCCAATATTTTGTAATTAATTTAATTCCTCTATCAAATGGTAAAAACTTCTATCATTCCCAAGATTTTTTACATCCTTTGAATTAAATAAAGCAGCTACAAAAATACTTTGTAAATTAGACTTTAAATAATTAGGAGCTGTGGGAAAACAATAATACATTCCTAGTACTGGAGATGCATGAGAACCTAAAGGATTGTTTACCTCGAAATCATCGAAGTATAAAAAATATGGTATGTATAATGAACCATCTTTATTAAAATGTAACATTTTTTTCTTTCCATAAATCACTATTTAAAAATTTTGTATAATTTGTTTGACTATTAAAAAAATTGTGATGTTGAACAAAACTATCTAATACTCCAGGGGCACCAAAATATTTTCTTAATTGGAATTTCAAAGGAAGGATTAATACATTTTTTTTTTTCAGCAATCATGTTAGTATTGTGATTTATAATATTATCAATAGAGTTATCTAAACAAATTATTTTTGGATTATCATAATAATCATTATTTGTTAAGTTAAATATTTTAAAAATTTGTATTCTGATTCAAAATCTTTAAAAGGATTGTTTAATAAATTAATTATAAGCTCTAATGATTTTTTTGTATTATTATCTATCGTTTCATTAATTTTTATTACGTTTTTAATTTGTTGTGCTATAGGAAACATTATCATTTTAGTTACATCCCGTTGAAGTTGTAATGCATCTTTTATTGAAAAATTTAATTTTCCATAGTAATGCAATAAAAATGTCATCATTGAATATTTTAAAGTATCTAAATTAAAGTTATTATAATTTTGTTAAATTTCTTCCATTTGATCATTAGGATTTATGTTTGGTAAAGATACATTATTTTTATTAGTACCATGTTTTTCATTAATAATTATTGGTTGAATAAGATTGGTATTGCATATATTTGATTTCATGTGTTTAGCAAAAGAACGAAACAATGTGAATGTTTGAGGGCAGTTTAGTACCCCACAACGGTATATACTTGTTAACTTCAATAAATGAACACATTTTAAATGTATAAAAAGCATATCTAAATTATTAAATGTATTCTTAGAAATATAACATCTAGAGTCCATTATACTTATGGATTACTAACAGTAAAAAAAAAAATATACATAATGATAATAGAACAGATTAACTTACACAAAAAATGTGTAACAAAATATTTTAGTTAGATAAATCAGAGATTAAATACATCAAAGATGAGTTCTTAACATCAGAATCACAATGTATATCATAAAAATAACACTGAATGAATGTCCAAACTAAACTAGACTGAATTGGATATTTTAAATTAAATACCTGAAATATTTTAAAACAGACGTCAACTACTCTAATAATACTTGAAAACTTGTAATATGTGTTAAAGTAGTATACATAAAAATATTTTGCGATTTCAAAATCAACTCCAACAACACAAATTAAAGGCTGTAATGTTTTTTTTCCTTATAGCAGTTATCAATTTCGATTTGAATTGAGGTATGTAAATCATTCATTGAAGCAACTTGATGTAAAAATGATTTCCGTGCATCAGATATGGATGTTTTTATGATACGCCTTTTATTGGCAGATTCTTTATGATGATACTTAGATTTAGGAACATGCAGAGAATTCATAAGATCAATTATCAAAAGATTTTTAGCTTCTGAAATAGAAAAATCATTTATATATTTTTTAATTTAACTTGATTAATTGAATCATCAAGATTACAAAATGGCAAAAGTGAATATATTATTACCTAAGTCAGTTTCTTGTACTTCAAGTAAACGTTGTAAAAGCACTTTACTATTTCCATCTTTAATGCCAATTGCCATAAAAGGAATTATTTTAAGAGCAAATTGATTCCATTTGTCAAAAAGTGAATTGCCCTTAGAATTTGTATTCATGCACTCAAAGTCTATATCAATCTGAAATTAGAATTATTTAATTTTTATTTAGGTAAATTATATACATATATACTTATATATACTTGAAAAGAAAAACAAATTATTTTTTTCTGTTGTAACATTTAAATTTATGGTAGCTACAATATTCTGAAGGAAAAATTAATATTTGAATACACATATATTAATTTAAAATAGGTAACTCAAAAATAACCTAACTAAAAACACCTAATCTATAACTCCAAATAAACATGATTAAACAAACATACCAAACTATAACCAAATTACTGTTTGTATGTTGGCCATTCATCAAGGATATCATGAATAGTTATATTAGGCGAAGAAAGATATCTTCTACGAATATCAGCAGTTTGTTTCCACTTTATTTCGACTTCGTTCACTGGCTCTATATTAAATTGAAGCCATTGCTTGACACTATTTAATTCAGCACCTGTAGAAAACCTTAAAATTTAACATTCACCTTAATATTTGAAATTGGTGCCAAATTCAATAGTTAAATTGTTTTAATTTACCTTCTGATTCATCATGAGAAAATTCTCGAAAAGAGTTGGCATCTGAGTTATTTTCATTCAATTTTAATTTCTTAGGACCACTCCATAAATTATAACGACGCAATTTGGCTAAGGTGTTATGGTATTTTTTATACAGCAGTCCCTTAGGTTTTTGGCTTGGGTACACAGAGATAAAATGTTTCCTAAAAAGAAATTTAAAAATTTAAAATTTACCTAGGTAATACAATTATTTAAAAATAGAATACAAACCTTAATTTAGATTTGAAAACTTCAATAATACCAACAGAGATTTGTTCAAATAGTTTAGGTGACGCATGTATTTTCTGTTGAATCAAATGCTCAATAAGAATCTGTCAATATTTTTCTTAATTCATCAGTGAGCTTGTTATTTTTTTTGAAAAAGGATAAAATTAGATTCCCTTTTCCAGACGAAGTCAAAATGTCTACAACATTTATCTAAAATATAAATAATTAGTAGGTAATACATGTATTGTCAACCTGATATTTACTATAAAATATAAATAAAATAGTTTAAAAAAATACAAAATGTTTATATCAATAATAATGGTAGTACCTACTAATAGCAAAACATATTTTTATAATTTAAAATTGTTTTTATTTAAATCAAATTTTCAGTAATATTTACATTTTAAGAATAAAATAATTTTTAAAAATATCATGTGGCTTTTTTTTAGATAATTTTTAATAAAATATGCATCAAATTATATGAGTGCCCGTATTAGGCTGCCATGTTAAAAATAATGTATAAAATAATAATTAGAAAGGTATACAATATTATTATGTATTAACTATTAAGTACCTACTATAGGTCCATAACCTACTCTTATTCAGTAATATCTACTCGTGACTTTTTAGAGGGTAATTGAAGCCTATTATTTAAAGACGTGTTTTGTTATAACTTATAGGTACCTACCTTTATTATGCTTTTTGGAGATAAAGTGGAATGCTCAGAATCTGACGAAAATGAACTATCCGAGTTTAATTTATCCACATGTTTAGTTTCTTCCTGAAATAAATATGTTATAGGTAGGTATATACTATATACATTATACACATAATAAATTTAATATTCATTGTATATCCGATACCGATATCATACATAAGAAGTTTGAACTGATTAATAACTTACAGTAAGAAAAGATGCTTGCCACTTAATCAGATGATGTTCAAAAATAATTCTTTGTCCATATTTATTTTTAGGACAGATATTGTTTAAATGGTTTTCTATTGTGTACTGCAAGCTCTCAACAGTAACACCGTAATCTGGAGCATATTTTCATTTGTTTTTTAAATATTTATTATTTACAGGTAACAAATAATATTAATAAAAACAATTTTAGTAATATTTATAATATTTATGACAGTAGGTGGTACCAACTATAGTATATTAGTATATAATATAATATGAATAAAATATAACCAAAAATATAATATATAATATTTATATTAAAAAAGTGGGTGTGGCTTTGCTGTACAGTAGGTTACTGTAATGGATGGTGTTAAATTTGAATTCAATGATATAATATTATAATTGTATAAGAAAATAATTCTGAGCGAAGAAGGCCAGTCAGCTTATGATATTAATAAGTATATTTGATGATATTATTCTGAATAGATACCTAAAGTAATTTGTATATAACCTATTTAAGTGGAACCTTGTTTTAAATTTTCAATCTTTAGCTATAAAAATTGAACATTTTATACATTTTGAACTACAAAATAATTATTAAATTTTTAATTTGATACTTTTTGTCAAAATTTGATCTTTAAATTCTTATAAAAAAAAATTTGACCTCTGCATTTTTAATATTTTTCAACTGCTATAATAACAATAAATCAGAAGCCTTGTATTAAATGTTCATGCTTTTTTTGTATTGACAATTATAGAATAAACTAAAAAAAATATAAAAAGTAGAATATTTAATTTTAACATTTATTTACATTTAAATATCTTCAAAATAGTGAGAAAAGTGAGGTATCAATGAAATAAGTGTAAAAAAGTGAGCACACTCAAAAAAAGTAAGAATAGTGATGAATAGTGAGTGCATGGCAATCCTGCAGTAGTCCAAAAACTGTTTATAAAAACATACTACTGCATTTATAGTTCTTTTTCAATTAATATAGCATAATAATGAGTGAGTTGAGCTTTATATCTTGTGAAGTAAGAAGAAAGGTTGCTGATATTATGTTTATATATGATTTGTTAAATGGTCACATTTTTTCCCCAGATTTGCTCTCAATGATAGCATTTAATACAGCGAATCACTGCTTAAGAAAATCAAACTTATTTCATGTTCCATTTTATAATAATAATTACAGCTCCACTTCTTACTTTCCAAGAGCATTGAAGCTAGCAAATCTTGTTGTTGATCATGTAGATTTTTTCTTCATGTCACGTAATGTTTTCAAAAGAAATGTRTATTTAGTCWTAAACGATGTWGTAAATTAAGTAATATTCTATCATTATACTATTATTGATTTAGTGTTGTCTCCTATTGTATTATTATTGTTTCATTATTTAAACTTRTCTAATTATTATTATTTTATATTGTCTGCTTATTATTATTGTTTTAAATCGAGTCGTTTATTATTAATTGTAAAATACTTAAATGTTAAACCTGTACTGTATTGTTTACACAAAAGGGTCTTTACCCGTTTATTATACAAATAAAATAAATAATGTTTTCGATTGTAATATTGACCTTTTTGAAATTTCGGGGAAAAGATTTCGAGCTTACTTTTAATATAATTGGCGATTGATACCTTAGAAATTAGTTTGGTTTTCTAGTACGGTTTCCGGCCAAATTTACACCGATTCACTTTTCTACTAAACCAATAAATTATACCAGAGATTATATTTACAAAACTTTTAGTAATTTTTTTAAAACAAATAAAATAAACTACCTTATAATATCCATTATTTTTATAAAGGACACAACAAATAATATTATATACATTTGTTTTAAAGTATAATCTCAGTCAAAAGATAATTTTTTTTTTATTTAGGAACATAATTGTAAACTTAGTCTAATCTTAATTTTCATTAAGTCATAATTTTACCTATGCATATTCATAAAAATTCAAATCTTATTAATTTAAATATATTTTAAATTGTATACTTTTTACCTCCCTAATCATGACAGCATAAACATGGCTCTAAATCACATATATCCACTTAAAATTTAAATTATTCAATTTTTTTTTTTTTAATTAAAGAAATAACCCTCGGCAACTTGGCCATTGGGATAAGATACATTTTTTTTTTTTTGAAAGGTGTTACATAATAATAAAGTAAAATTTTAATAACAATAACAATAAATGCTTAAACTATATGAAAATAATAATAATAATAAGATTGTTTTATTTTTTTTAAATGATTAAATAAGTTTGTCCAGTCCTGCAACCTGGAGAAACACAATTATTCAATTACTTAACTGCTTAAATATTTGTAGTTACCTATTCTAAATCTACTATTCAGTATAAATTATTACCTACATACCACTTATTTGTTGATTTTATTAGTTTTAATTTTAATTTTTGTGACTACCTACTTAAACTTCAAATGAATTTGAGTCGTGTCCAGTTAAATTCATATTATAAAGCCAATTGTTAAATTTCCTTATAAAATAAATTTAAACAAATTTCAGTCATAAAATAAATTTAAACAAATTTCAGTCATAAAATAAAAGTATATTATAGAAACTTAAATATAATATTGTGTATATTATTTCAATAGTTCATTCCAAAATTAGAATCTTTTAAATTGTCAATATAATTATACCAAATAAAATATTAAAAAACTATAAAGTATTATTTTATAATAATATAAATAATTAATATTTTTAATTTAATGATAATAATATAATTAATATAAATATTATTATTACAGTTTTGTCAAATAATAATCAAATAATCAATATCATGTAAATATTTGGCACAAATTTGGAAGGAGAAGGAATATTATTAGTCAACAATATAACAACACAAATTTCCACTGCAGATGTACAAATAATGGATGTTTCTAATTTAAAAAACCAAGCTGTTGAAACAGTTTCACAAGAATGGAATAGATTACACGACATGATTCCATCATTACCATCGACAATACTTGAACAATTATGTAAGCGACTAAAAAATATTCAAAATAGTCAACAATTTGTAGGATTTATTCATTCAGTAAATAAGACTGCAGCTTCACTAAATATAAGAAAGGCAAAAGGGAAAAATTGGGGTACAGCCTGCTTCAATAAGTAGGAGAAAACAAGGAGTAACTCGTGGTTAAAAAAGGGTACCATCTGGAAGAAGACCAAAAGAATATGTCACTAAAGGAAAGCCTAAAAGACCAAACAATTTAGGTAAAAACCTATCAAATAATGTAATGAACTCTAAACATCATTAGAGTTTATACAATAATATTTCTTTTTTTATTAATACGATGTCAGTAGTGTTACACTTAGACACTTAGTAGTATTATATTTTATATAGTAAAATATTGGTGTGTAAACACACTGTGTTTATTTTTTTGGGGCTTTTTTTCCTTTAGGTTTTTTTCCGTGGGCTTTTTTTCCGCGATTCAATCAAAATGTATAGTTTATTAAAATACATTATTTTTAAGSATTATATGCTTGAATATTATTTTTCTGTGCATATTTTATTTAATCAATAGTTTTTAAAAAAATATTTATTAATGGTATCAAGGCAATTAACTTGAGTTATTATTGGTTTTGTAATAAAGGTTGGATTAATCTAATCTTATCTATATATAATATTTATAATCTGTGCATAAGATCAATAATTAAATCAATATTCATAACATAAATACTTAAGTTATAACTTCTAATAATTTCCAAAACATTGATTTAACTTAAAATGATTAAAGGCCAAATGATCTCAATTCAGTAAAAAAAAAGTAATTAGGTTAGTTCACATTATTTCTTAAGTTACACGTAACAAATGGCGTCATCTTAGTTGTCAGTAGAGGGGTAGTGGGGCAAAAGTTTGACTACCTAGCTCAAAAGGGTAAATTAAATAAACCATTTTCTAGGTTCACAAGTACATAATATCTGTTTACATTTTTATCATATAATTTCTATATCACATATTTTATAATTTAAATATTTTGCGTATTTAATTAATTTGCCTTTTTTTTGTTAACTAAGGTACAGCATCATTTTCAAACATAAGGTAGCAGATATTTTATAAAAACAATCATACAAACAAATCTTAACTCTATAAAATAATTTAGTAATAATAATACGTTATTTTAATTGCTTCCTTACTGGTTTTAAGTTTTGTCTTTTTTATACGTATTACAATTTTGGTTTGCTATTCTTGAGTTATTAGCTCTAAGTTAATTTTTTTGGAGGTTTTTTTTAACTGAACAACTTGTATATATATATTATTTAAGACATTTGTATAAATTAAAAAAATAATGGAAACATGTCAAAAACATTAAATTTTATTATTCTAAGCTAAATTCAAAAAAATAGAAAATATTACACAGTATACGATCATCACAAAGTTAAATAAAATCTGAAAACAATGACCAATAAAATTGCTGATATATCAATTGTTGTCTTTTAAGTGCACATTAGTTTAAGAGTTTCGAAATAAAACTATACTTTTAGAGTATAGGATTAAAATATTAATTATTATTATTTTTGTTTATACAACAATTGAACAATGTATTCCTTTTTTATCAAAAAACACATACAGTCTAATTTCATGAACGTCCAGTGGCGTGCCCAAGGGGGGGGGAGGTTAGGGGTTATATCCCCCCTCCCTCATTGGTTTTTTTTTGTTAACTTCAACTTATTAGATATTACCATACACATGTATAAACATTTATATATATATGGATATTACTTTTAAAATTATCAGTAATAAGTTATTGCTTATAAATTATTTCCCATTGGCTATTATAAACATTCACTATATGGATTATACTGATTATAGATCAGTGATTATGTATTCATGTTCATGAGCAATCATCGAGACATTAAAATAAATACTGATGAARTCATTGATGAGATGAGTACAAAATCTAGGCGGTTAAATTTTTGTTTGGAATAACGAATAACTAAGTTGTTTTTAAGAATTATTTTTCTTTTGTATATTAATTATTTTAATAAAGGTTATAAATGTTTTTTTAACACATGTCATGAAGTCCCATCAATGGATGGTCTCTTCTCTCATGCCCCCTGTCTGAATTGTTGTAAATAATTGTAATCAYCAACCYGYMGTTGTTTTATTACCTTATTATTTCGTCTTTTCTATATTATTCTATTCTATTATCATTTGTGCTTATTGTAAACCTTAAATTACAGATTGTACAATTCTCTCGTTTAAAAATAAAAAAATAAATGTTTTTAGTTTAATGTTGTCATTTTATTTAAACAATAGTGTATAGTGTGTGGCAATTTAAATTAATTCTAATTGTAGAATGATACTTAATATGCATGAATGTACATATGTTTAGCAATTTTTGTGTTTGATAACCATGATTAATTTAAATGTACTTTTACTAAAAAATTTATAACATATATCCCCCCCCCATTGAAATTTCCTGGGCACGTCACTGTGAACGTCCAAACTTGTGTCCAAATATAAATAATATATTCCAATTCCAAACATTATAAAAATAATCATGTTAATGTGTTAATAAAATATAATAATGGTTAGCAGGAAACAGCTGCACTTCAGCCCATTAGTCTGCATTTAAAATCAAACAGTAGAAAATGCGTAATCTGCCATCCCTCAAAATTACAACACTGCACATACATACATACTGCACTACATTGTAATCATTAGTTTGAGCAACATACATATCTACAAATAGATGGCTAACGATTTTTATTGATAGATATTATCATACTATTTATTCGTATTGTAGTCTGTAAATTAAAATGTTTTGGGTATTACTATGAAAAATGACTAATAGATTACAATAATAAAATATTTATGTTACAAACATGTGAAATACTAAACCTTATATTATTTTACATTTTAAACCTTTAAAATAAATTGCTAAAATTATTTTAATTGTCATAACTGTTGATTTATTAATTATTTGTACATTTTATAATCCCATTTAAGAAGTTGCATGTGTTGTTTCTATCTTACAAATATACAACATACAGGATTCACATTATATACTAATTTTAATTTTATAAAAACTATATAATTCATATTTCTAAATTATCATTGAAAAAAATTAAATTTTCAAGCTAGTTTTTATGAATAGTTTAAAAACAGTCTTCAAAATTTCCATTCAAGGCAGCCCAATTACGTGTTTCATCGTCCCAAGGACATCCGTTTTTTCGAGCATATTTTAAGCATTCAAAGTGGCCATTCAGAGCAGCTATGTAACATGTATAATCATGCCACGGACAACCATTCTCATGGGCATACTGGAGGCAATCTAAATGTCCATTTTTTGCAGATCCAAAAGTTAAAAATAAATCCAAAGGACATTTATTTTCATGTAAAAACTTTAAACAATCCAAATGCCCATTTTTACCAGCGGCACTAGTTGTTTTACCATTGCATAAACATCCATTATTAAAAGCATAAATCAAGCAATCTAAATGTCCATTTTCGGCTGCACCAAATGTTGTATCTTCATCCCAAGGACACCCATTTTCATGAGCATACATCAAAACTTCTAAATGTCCATTAGAACCAGCCATAGTGCATGTTTCTTTATTCCATACGCATCCGTTTTCATGTGCATATTTTATGCAATCAAGATGGCCTTTTGATGCAGCCATGGTACATGTTTCTACAGTCCATGGACACCCATTACTATGAGCATACACTAAACACTGCAGCTGTCCACTACTTGCAGCCCATTTGCATGTATCTTCACCCCATGGACAACCATGTTCGTGGGCGTATTTTAAGCATTCAATATGTCCATTGTGGGCTGCCAACATGCAAGTTTTTTCGTCCCAAGGGCAACCATTTAAAAACGCATATTTCAAACAGTCAAAATTGCCACGGTTCGCAGCCCAGTTAGATGTATATTTGTCCCAAGGGCAATTGTTCTCATGAGCATATTTCAAGCATTCCAAATTACCATGTTTTGCTGCAGTGTAACATACACTTCTATCCCATGGACAACCATTCTCATGGGCAAATTTTAGACAGTCCACACTACTATTTTGTGCAGCAGCCATACAGACATCTTTATTCCATCCAAAGCCTAATTTGTGAGCCATCTCTAAACAATCAACATGACCAGATTCTGCTGCAATGTAACATGTCTTAGTATTCAAACGATGGTCAACAACTTTTTTGCCTAGTATTAATGTTTCGCAACACTGTTTGATATAAATTTTAATTACATTCTGTGGAATGTTATTATACCAATATTTTTCGAATTCGTCACAATGAAAATATGCTAGTTTTGATAAGGTGAACATTGTCAAATCTTATTTTTCAAATGTTTAAAATCCACCTAAAACATTAAAATTATCAATAATATTATATAAGTGCAGATTATCAATTATCATTGATACAAATTTGTATTAAAATCACTTAAAATAAGAATTCTTACTTGTGAATTATTGTAATTTATCAGTCAGATTGAAACCAAATTGACTTCTTCCATAAATTGTATAATCTATAAACAAATACAAAATATAAAGAGTTAACAAAGATTTGTATTCATTAAAGGGGCATGGTTCCTACACCTTTAAAAACTGATATTTTACAGGTATTCTTACACATTTATGTACTACATATAAATATATACCTATATATACAAGCTGAGTAATTCAACTTTACCATTAAAAAAACGAAATAATATAAAATATAATGCTGTATAGATGTATTTTGGACTGAATGTTTCTCATTAATGAGGAATTGGTGTTGGTTATTTTGCTTCATTAACTAATTCAACCAAAATGAACAATTTGCCTTTGGTGAATGATAATGGGTAAAGCACTTGATATATTTTCAAACATGGTTCAAAGTATTCTCTTGTTGGTAGAACAGATGGACTTTAAAAAAAATGATTACAACTAGATATCCTGGTCGTCAAGTGTTATAAAGGAAGACGTTAATGAAAAATATAGGAGCTCAACATCAAGTCCTACTACAAAATATTAAAAGCTTATTTAACTACCACTGCTGATTGTAGGACTACTTTCAAAAGGTTTGTTATTTTAAACAAATAATCTAATATATTATAATAATTGAATTCATAGCTTTTATAATTTAAATATTGTTTTACAGATTGGGTATGACATGCCATTGAATTAATCCAGAATCAATAGAAAGTCTTGCTTATTATCTACAAGAAGATTAAAGGGTAGTCATAAATATGATCTACTAGCAAAAACTATGGAATTTATTTATACTGAATTTAATATTTATTTTAATCAGAGGTATGATTTCAATGCAAATAATTTCTTTAACTGGTTTGAAAATAAATCAAAATTGAATTTTTCCTAGGAATAACTCATTTTTTGTCAAAAAGTCCTGCAAAAATCTTAATATATAGAATGAAATGTCCACAGTAAAAAAATCATTTTTCTACTTCTTAGCAGTGCTCCTGTGGAACACATATTTAGATGTGGTGCTGTATTATAAAAAAAAAAAAAAAAAAAAAAAAAAAAAGAGGTAGGATGAATAATACAATGTTGAAAAAGTGTTATGAGGACGCAACACGCGTGTTTTTGTCGCAGTCTAACAAACACATAACATAGCAAATTGACATTCAGCAGTTCACGTTTTATTCTGTTAGCTTAAAAATTAGAGTGAATAGAACAATTATAAAACTTGATGGTAATAACACTAATAACATAATCTATATTTTGTTGGAAGTATTTTTTACAAAAATTCAGTGTTTAAGTTAATTAACTTTTCTATCATAATGTTGTCAATGTCATATTTATTATTATTATTATTTAGCCACGGCAACTTGGCCATTGGTTTCAAGTTTTTGACTATTGTATTACAAATTACTCTTTATTATGATATTAATTATATTATAATTAACTATTGTTACTTTGAATAAATAATTTCATAAAGAGTGGATGAAAAGTATCTAAATATTTTTTAATAAATGCAACACAATAGTACTTGTATTTTTTCACTCATAAATTTAATCTCAAACAATGAAACTTTCTATTACAAGACAATAATTTATCAACAAAAAATATTAATTTCAAACACAGCTTAGGCATTAAAAGGACACCACACCTACATGTGACGACTCTGACTATCTTACAAGCGTAAAAATAACAAAAACGGTTTTGACAGGAAAGAACCGAGAAGCCTATATTCGTAACTAAGGAATAAAATGTTGGACCTTTTCCGTTAATTCACTAACACTATTTATTTTTTATTAGTTTTTCCGTTTTTTTTTTTTTAGAAGACTATATATGTATATTAATGGAATGACTCACAGAAATGTGTTGATAAGTGAGATCAAGCCTTTTTTTAGGAGTGCCACATCAGTAATTATTTTCGTGACTGCAGCAACATGTTCAATAATAATTGACAACAATGTATGTGCTGATCTGTCAGGAATAGGAACTAAAAAAGTTTCTTTGGCTTATTAATTTTGTAGATCCTAATACTTTGGCTCACACTAATACTATTGAGAGTTCTTGGAGCAAAATAAAATATCGAAATAAAAAACAGTGGGCTACCTATCGACTAATGCTGAACAGCTACTTGGTCGAGTACATGTAGTGTAAGCGTTATGGTCCTAATAATTTATTTGAAATAATATTACAACTCATTGCACACTTCATGCCTCCAAAATCAAAATGATATAATATACATATATAATAATCTAAAAAAAAACGGAGACCAAAAAAAAAAAAGTGGTAGTGAATTAACAGAAAAGGTCCAAAATGTTTTACTGCAAAGATAAAAACATTTACTATGCAACAATGTTTTTATTTTTTGATATCACGAATACGGAAAGAGTTATTCAAGTTTGAAATAATGAATATTTAAATATTAATAATTTTTTTATAAGACATTAAAAATGTGAGTATGGCATTCACTTGATGATAGACTACAGTACATTTTGTAAGTTACATTATGTATGTGATATAATATTATAATGGTATGCTAAACAGTAAACATAGTAAACTATTTGTCAAATGCCCATGGAACAAGAAATTTTCTGTTTATGGATATGATATGGGTTTTAGTTAAAAGTAGGATAATGACAAATGATGGAAAGCCATTGAGATCTGCAGTCAAAGACAAGTCGACATTTGTTTTCTTCTGGTCTGACGCAATACATTTTTTTGTATTTATAAAGTATTCCAGCTTCTATAAAAAACTAGACACAAATATTACATAGTTTTACTTTTTAGGGAATAAGTTATGTTTAGTTTATATATAATGAATTCCTTCAGTATTACACTAATCATCATAATAGTAGCCTAAAAATTGTTATTAAAATTAAAAATTTTTGTGATAGATAATAATAATTAATATAATATACCAAGGTAAAATACAAGTTACGGGTAAACCTGGTCCTAGTGAGAAATTTGACACTGATTTGAACAGTTGACAAGCGCGCCCTTATATTACAGTATAAGAGAATAACAAAAATTATAAGTAAACATATATCATATTTCAAACTTGATTATTAATACGATCATCAAATTTGACCCTATTATACGTATTGATACACTCAAATTTCTTGTTAGAAAATCTTGATTGTTTAAGTTATATTATTTATTAGTTGAAATAGAAGTACCTACCCATAGATATAAAATCATTTTAACACAACTATATTATTATAAACATATTAATATATTCTAAATCATAATAACTCTACTAGGTAAAGCCTTTAATTTTTAATGGTGTATTAGAAAAATAAAATAATTTAATGGTTTTCAATTTAAAAACTTCTACTTAGATGAAATAAGCAGTTGGACATGAATTTTGCAAATACATATCTCCTCCTCCATAATCAACCCATAGCTCTAATCAAAATAATGTTGATAGATATGAGACAGAGATGGAAAATCCATGGCATACGTTAAGATTTTGAGGGCACACAAAACATTAAAATTTTTTTATATACGCATATATAGTAACTATATACTATTGAATATTTTTCATGACATACTCAAAGAAATAAAAGAAGCTGTAACTGTTCAGTTTCAAGACCTCCTAGCCTTATGTGATCTACAATCACACATACAATATTCTTTCTAAATACCACGCATCTTACATACATACAGTGTATCACCCAGTGACAATCAACGGGGTGGACGATGGAGACAAATCATTCCAAGACATTCTTTTCAATATTTATACTAAATTGTAATATTATAATATAGGTACACAACGAAAACCATAAATTATATCTTTGATGATCAAATAGTGTATGATAAAAAATCAGCAAACCCCTTTTCCATGCGAAAATCGTTAGATTGCCATTGCACTCTTGTGCATAGTTTAGGGAATCTTCAAACTAAGAAAGAACAATTTCCCTACAATGTAATTACACACAAGAGACAATTGACACACGAAAACCGTATTGTAGAGAGCACCACCGCCCTTGGCCTACTAGGTGACGATCAAAACAGTGAAACACACGGGCGTTTATTATACTTACGTAGGTATAAGTAACGTTATTGCAAACGTCGAGGATTAGGGCTTCCAAATGGTGTAAGCGCCGCCGTTGATTCGCTGTCAAAGGCCCACGAAATTCTTGTTGACAACTGGCGACGGAGAAAATGAAATATTCGCGGTCACTGATGAGATGTGACTGGTGAATTTTATAGCGATCGGATACGGACGATGGAGATGAGGCCGCCAAAGTCGGATTGTCATTTGTCAGTGAACTCGATAGGTAAACTTAATAATTCTGGTTAGTGGCACCTAGAAGCCATGGGATAGTGTGAGTGCGTACTATACACATTCGAGTGACGCTCAAAAATCAATTCCTAAAACCTAACCTGCGATTGGGCATTTGTGTAAGACACAATACACAAACACAGACACACAGTACACACAGCACACAAACAGTGTCGTTGTACACTTATTCTACTTGACACTTGTACCACTCTACCGCGTTGCCGGCGTGCATATTACATAGAGTAATATAGAGACTGAGGTCGTTGGGTATATTGCCGATGTTAACTAATTGATGCGCAATACGTGGATATTTAGCAGGGCCTTCGTTATTGATAAAAAAAATATTGTACAAAAAAATGGTAAAACGTACCGCTTGTTAAATGTTATCAGTAATGTTATCATACAGTATTACTCTATGGGACAATGCAATATTGCATTTTGCATCCGTTAAAGATTACGAATTACGATTTACGACTACGTTATATAAATAATAATTAAATAATATAAAAAACTACGTTTTAAATGTTTGCCTAGACGTGTTTTATAGTAGTAAATAGTAATTCTCATAATGCCTAGTTGTTTTGTATGTGGAAGAACAGAGAATCAAAATTCTAAATCTGCTAATATATCTTTTCACAGGTATGATTAAGATTTTAA